CTGCTGGGTTCACTGCTGTTCAGTTTTCAGATGGTTGCAGACCTGGAAGGTGAAGAGCAGCAGGCTGCCGACATCCTCCGTCTTCTTCATGGCCGACTCACCGATCACATGACCACTGAAGGAGGCGGGACCTGGTGAACTGATTCTGTCAGGACACAACCAATCAGGGCGCCAGGTCAAGGGTCACATGTCTTTGTTTGTTAGTTGTACATTTCAACTAATGACCTACTTCTCAAACAAATTACTAAAGTTACTGAAACCAACATTTGACTCCAGCTATTATTTATGAGCTATAAAAACGTATTTACTAAAATTTGCGGAAAAAACAAAGATTTTTTAAATTCCTATAAGCAGAGACGACAGTAAATCATCTTTTAAAAAGGTAATATCACCGGTTATCTTTAGCTAACCGAACTGCAGACCCCACAGTTAAATTCTTTACCTGCTTCTGACAAAACTTTTACCCTCAAAATCAGCCAGCTGCAGCTCTGATTTCATGCTGTTTCCTGTTCCCAAACTAAAAAACTCTAATAAACACAACGAGCCTTAAAAAAAACAAACACATCATGTCAAATCATTCCCGAAACAAAGAGGTTCTTCAGATGGTGAAGGTGCCATTTAAGAACCTTTATTTGCCTGAGCGACAAATACCAATGAATCAAATCGTGCCCACTCAGGAAACACCTGGACAGGTGCAGGACATGAACGCTACATGACTTGCTACTGCAAATGGTTCAAACTGAAAGCACTAAATCTACACATCTGATAAGCATAACAACATAAAAAAGGTAGCTAAGCTTAGCAGTGAATTAGTTTATCACGCACAGCGGAAGTTACATGTGATTAATGGTCCTATTTAACGTCCTATTTGGTGTTGTAGCTGTAACTTTATTGGGCAGCAGCACAGCAAAAAGGAACGCATCGAGGCTGGACAAATTAATCAGGCGGGCCAGCTCTGCAGTGGGCATGAAACTGGACTCCCTGGTGACAGTGGCAGAGAGGAGGACACTGAACAAACTGCTGGCCATCATGGACGATGCCAGCCACCCTCTGCACACTGTCATCATCGCCCAGAGGAGCCAGTTCAGTGACAGGATGCTCCTCCCCAGGTGCAAAACCAACAGGACCAAAAACTCCTTTGTCCCCCGAGCCATCAAACTGTTCAACTCTGAGCTCGGGGGGAATGGGAGGAGCAGCAAGCGGGGAGAGGTGGGGAGCGAGGGGTGACGAGTGAGGACATTGGGGTGAGATAAAGCATCATGCACTATCACCGGACTGTGTGGAATATTTGGCATTTTGTTTGTTACTGTATCCATTATTGTTGTTGTTATTATTGTTATTATCATTACTACTAATGTTGTGTTGGTGTTGTGTTGTTGCTAGTACAACAATTTCCCTGAGGTACCCTACCCAAGGGATCAATACAGTTCTATCTAATCTAACCTAATCTAACTCAGTAAAGCTGTAATTCATGTCTTGTCCACACAGTGTCGCTGCTGCACCTTCCAAGCAGTGACTTTTAGCTACAGTTCAAAGAGTTCATCAATAATACTACAGATGTGTTTAACAGCTTCCATTGTCACTGTCTCAAAGGTATTTGCACAAACTAACATAATTATAAATATGAGGAATATTTTCAATAAACCATTTTTAATAAAGAATATTCACATCTTGACCCCAGACTGGGATAAATAAAGTATTTTTCTATTCTATTCTATTCTATTCTATTCTATTCTATTCTATTCTATTGCTTTGTATATATTGACTGAAGTGTACAAAGCTTCACTTTATGCTCAGGTTCAGTCAAATGCTGCAAAGCTGTCAGTACAGATGGATAACGGCCAAAAACAAATCACGAAGGCAACCAAAGACCTTTTTAACCCTCTGAACTCCTACAGTTTCTGGTCATTTACTGTTCCTGTCTCATTTTCACTCACTGTGAGCTAATTCTTTCTTACTGTAGGTTATTTTTTCTTACTGGAAGATAATTTTTCCTCCCTGTGGACACATTTTTAGTCACTGTGGCTCATTTTTCACCTGCAATATAAAATCCTGTACCTCTATGGAAACAGAGCAACCATGGAGACGAAGGAAGAACTCGGAAATGTCTTCTGTCAGAATGAAGCAGATTAAAGATCATTTCCAAAAGTTTCAAAAAGACTTTTAGTCTTTCTAACAGCCTAACTTCCAAAAATCAATGTATTTGCAATAAGACCTCACAAATAAATGGACTTTTATCCACAAGTCAGTATGTCAAGTCATTCAGGATGAGTCTCAGGTAGAACACTGAGTCCAGTCCAGGTTACCTCTGATTTGGTTCTGCTTTCACTGGTTCAGATTGTCTAACTTGGCTAACTGCATGAATCTGCCTGTTTCCTGTGTGTTCGTACTTACAGAGTTAAGGATGTTTGCAGTGAATACTCCACCAACATGGAGACCGAGACCGGAGCCAGATCCACCTGCTCACTGAGCCTGAACACACAGAGACACAAGTCAGTACCGGGCCAACCGACATCACCAGAACCAGCTGTGAGGTGGAGCTCCTACGTGGACAGCTGCAGCAGAGATCGGATCTCTCGGGTGTCCAGACTGATCTCAGATGGCTGAAACTTGATCAACACCTGCACCTGGAGAAGAAGACACAAAACCAGCAGGGACAGGATCAGTACTGCACTACTACTGCATGGACCGCAGTACTGCGGGTACCACTGGTACAATAGTGAAAGCTGGGTACCTTGTGGTTGCTTCTGAAAGGGTTCCCAAGGTCACACAGGAGAACCGAGTCCTCAGCATAAAGCTCCACCACCACTGGATTGCCATCCTGGAACACAAACACTGCACTGAGAGGATGCACCCGGTCTAAGTCAAGTCCATGTCCTTCAGAGTCCAAGTTAGGTCCAGGCCCTTCAAAATGATTTCAAGTCCTTCTAGTTATTTAGTCAAGCCAAGTCAGGTCCAAGTCGGGAACATGTCCATTAGAATCCTTCCAGTCCATTGGAGTACAAATCAGCTATTCAAATCAATTGTTGGGTCAACCCCAAGGCCTTCTGGACTGGTCGGTCATCAGGTCGTGTTGATCCTCAGAACATCAGTAAAACTGGACTTTTTGTTTCCCTGACATTTAAGGTCTCATCTGAATTATTCTTCAGTTCTAACCCACTGATGGGCAGTTTCCAGTGTAGTAACTCCAGTTCCAGGAAGTCTTTCAGGTCCAAGTCAGATCTCAAGTCTGTGAGTATACATAAAAGTAGACAGTCCTACTGAAGGAAGTCAAGACATCAAGTCCTTCAGGGTTGGTCCAAGTCATGTCTATTTGCAAGTCCTTCATGTCCCTGGAAAACCCAGAATCCCTGCAGTCTGGTTAAATGAAACCTTCAAAAACAAACAGAAGAAGAGGAACATCAACTAACATTCACTAATCTAAAGACGACCACATTGTTTTCTACCTTTGTCTCAACTCCAGAGTAGATCAGCGACGGTGGGACACTGATGTTTAGCACGGTGTTGTGAGCGTCCTCTGCTAGTCGTCCTGGAGACGGTGTGTTGCTGACATTCACCTCCAGAAACAAACGCTTGATGTTGCCGTCGAAGTGCAACATCTGAACACCATCCTGCCTGAAAACAAACAAAACAGGTACAGCAACACGACTGCAGCAGAGTCGAGTCCAAGTCACGGACACGAGTCCAAGAGAAAGTTGTTTTTTTCTTTTAGATATTTTTAATATTTGAAGGAGAACAATGGAGGATTTTACTGGATGTTACTGAATTCATCTGAGAACTTTCTCCACCTCTGTGCATCACTGTATTTAAGCCTCTTCTGTCATAGATCAATAATCAATAGTCAGTTGTTACCAGGTCAGAGAAAGCAGCAGCTGTTTGTGTTCACTCACTTGGCGAAGGGGTTCTGGTTCTCATCGGTAAACTGGGCTGCCATCTGCAGGTTACTATGGCAACGGTTGTCAGAACCACAAGCCTTCTGGATGTGGATCTGATGAAGGAGGAGAGTCGGCATCAAACAGGGAGAGCTGACAGGTTCTGACCGGTTCTGACCGGTTCTGACATGTTCTTAACCACCAGCATGAAAGATGTTTGTGGCCTTATTTTTCAACTGGGTTCTGAACAGGTCTCTGATGGGTTCCATCAATACTGACTAAACTCTGACTGGATTGGGTTCTGTTTAGATCCGACCATGGATCTGTTGTTGATCTAGGTTCTGACTTGTTCTGAGTTTGTTGAACTAGGCTAGATTCTGATCCTTCTAATCACTCTGAACAAGGGTTCTGCTGCATTCTAACCTGAGTGCCGAATGGTTTTAAATGGGTTCCCATTGGTTCTGACTTCCTTAAGCTTATGAATTGAGTTCTGGGGGTTCTAATGGGTTCTTACCTGGATTCTGAGGGTTTTGACTTTGGCATCTAGTGGGTTTTGATGGTTTTTTAAGGTTCTGACCAGTGTTCTGTTAGAATCTGACTTTGATTTTGTGGATTCTGACTGATCCCGGGGAGCCTGAACCTGGATTTTGACAGGTTCTATTGGGTTCTTTGTTGAGTTCAGTTCAATTCAGTTCTGTTTCTATGATGCCAAATCCTAACACATGAAATGTGAATTCATTTAGTAATGGGTTCTGACCTTGATCCTGAAGGTTCTGAGGTGTGTTCTAAGGGTTCTGACCTGGGTTCTGATGGGTTGGGGAGTCTGGCTCAGCACAGGGAAGCGTCTCAGGTCTTGGACAGCGTTTTTTTTCTTCGGAAGCTTCTCGTACAGAGATGCGTTCAAGGAGAACACCAAAGGTTCCACTTTGTTTCGGATCTGACTCTGCAGAACAACAGCACACAGAACAGAACCACAGTAATGGATCAGAACATGAGAGATGGTTCAGAGGATGAACAGGAACATGAAGGTCTGAAGGGAAAGAATCCCAAACGTTACTTCAAACAGCAGATCAACACTTTAATCTGAATCAGCAGCACAAAAGCAGCAGCAGGTTAAAGACGGATTCTCTTTAATAAATCTACAAAATGACATTTATGAGCCAGAAACGTCAAAAACAGAAAGAATCATCAGATTTTCAAGGTTCTGACGGTCCTTTAATGTATCATCTGTGTGAGTCCATCTTGAAAAAGCTGATTCTCCATGACTGACTCAGCTGTGATCAACAGTGAAAAACTCGAGCGTTTTCAGGTGAACTGCAGGCAGTGTTTCCACAGAGCAGAGAGGAGACGACAAGAGAGACTGAGAGGAACATTTGTAAAGGCTGTAAGCAGTGAAATGGTTAAATATTTATCGTATGTGGAGACACAACATCTGTAAAATTTGGAAAACTAAGCAAAAAAATGACAGCACAAAGAGAACACAGAGACAATCAGAAACACAAGATGCACAATGAGGAAAAATTACCAAAAACAAAAAAAAGAGGAAGATCTAAAATGACTAAAAGAGAAATAAAATGAGAAAAATGAGAACTGGAATAAAAAACAGAGACCAAACAAAAAAAAGACCCAAAACAAGACAGAAAATGACCCAAACGAAGAAAATGAAACACAAAATGAGAAAAAAGAGAAACAAAAACAGAAAAAAGACAAAAAACAACACAAAAAAAAAAAAAAAAACACAAAAAACACAGAAAACAACACACAATAGGACCCAATGAGACAAAACTGTCCCAAGGAATGCTGGGAGTTCAACAGATTAAAGCCTGAGATTCCCTGGTGTGTTTTCCCAAACTGATGTGAAAGTTTGAACTCAGCTGAAGAAGCAGGATGTGAATCTGTCAGCGGGTCACTGATTACCAACTTTCATCAGAATCAGTCAGTTTTTATCTCAAACAGCAGAACCTCCTTTAATCAGACTGTCGGCTGGAATAAAAGGTGGAAATTCTTCTGGATCAGTTTACGGCTCTCTGATGCTGTTTCATTTCCTCCTGTTAGCAGTACAAACTGTGGTGGCTTTCACTTAATTCATCTGTTGAAATATCCTTCGACAGTTGATGTGAAACAGTAGAGGCTGTAAAAATGCAAATAGCTAAATATCTACCACATGTAGAGAAAAAACAATCACAAGAAGAGGAAAATGAGACATAAAATGACAGCAGGGAGACTGAAAATGACAAAGATGAGTCAAAAGCACCACAAAGAGAGACAAAACAAGACAGAAAACTACAGAAAACCAGGAAAATTAGACACATTAGGAGAGAAACTAGATATAAAATAAGAAAAAATGTCCCACAGAGACATGAAACAACACAAAACGAGAGCCACCATGAGGAAGATGAGGTGCTGATGATAAATGTTTGAATGATGTTTAAAATTTGTAAGGTTTTTAACTTGCTATGTGGAGTGCTGTGAGATGATTTATGTTGTGAATTGGCCCTTTATAAAAAAAAAACAAAAAAACGTTGGATTGAACTGATGCAAAATGGAAAAAAACATGATGCAAAATGAAAACAAGACGCAAATGAGAAAAACAAGACATAAAACAAGAAAAATGAGATACAAAATGAGGAACAATGAGACACAAAATGACAGAATGAAGATAAAAATTTTCCCAAAAACACATGAAACGATACAAAACAAGAAAAAATGAGAAAAAGATTAAACATTTTGAGACATTTTCTTCTTATCAGTAGTACAAACTGTGACTGACTCCAACTGAATTAATCTGGTTTTAGCTTCTCACACTGGAAAGACTTGAAGTGAACGTATCGCCAGTTGATATTTTTCTCTCTTAATCACAGACTGTATAAAAGATGGACGTAGCTGCCCGGACATCACCCGTTGGTTTTTGCACTGAGAAAATGAAGCCAGGGTTTTGCTACTTCCTGGTTGACATCTTGGATTTTTGGAGCCTGAGCTGTAGGAATGCAGTATTTGGTGATCTGTGATCACTTCTTTTCCAATTCAAGTCTATGGGAGCCAGGGCTTTTTGGAGCCAGCAGCTAGCGGACGTAGTGATACTGCAGGTTTTTGACACTTCCAGGTTGGCTTCATTTTTCAGGGCCGGTGGCTACGTCCATCTTTTATACAGTCTATGCTCTTGATTCAGGTTTAAAGCCTCTTTTCTTCGCTGTAGCGCCACCATCAGGATAAATGTGTCTCACCTGCAGTCCCACTTGCAGCGTCTCGCATTGCCTCTTCGGCATCGACAGGTAACCGGAAAATACACTCTGTCCGTTGTCGCGGAAACGGAGGCGGGGCTTTAGGCTGGTTGCGTCAGCAGTGATGGTGAAGTGGACGGCTGTGAGACAAACATAAGAAAAGATAAAGGAATGAAAACACAGCAGCAGATTTTACTTATGAGTCAGCTGCATGCAGAAAAAGAAAGGTTCTAACTGGAACCAAAAATGATTCTACACAGTGATGCCATAGAAGAACCATTTTGAGTTTCACTTTTTAGCAAGATATTTTCTAAAGAAGAATTTCATCAAACAGTTTTTTAAAGAACCTCCAAACGTGGCTCAAAGAACCTTTATGAATGGTTCATTTAGGTGCCATTAAGATTCTTCAAGAACACTTTTAATGGTGTTTAAGATAAGTTTGGGGCAAACTTGAAGTAATTTTTGGGCATCTTTTTGTCACTCTGGACAAATCTTCTGACCCACATGGTTCATCTTCGATGACGGAATTGATAAATGTTTAAGTAGATTTTTCTGTAGAAAATTCAAACATAAGAATTTGCAGTATTTCTGGGGTTGCCTCCTGATGTCAGATTAGCAGAAATTTGGATGGAACTTGGTGTGGATTCTCATCAGCTGCTCCAGCTGAACACAGTACATCAGTATTCAGCCTCAGTTGTGGCCTGCATGCAGACTGACGTTAAATCAGCAGATATTTCAATGGAGTCTGGTTCATTCCAGCGTAGTGGACAGTTTACAGACACATCAGGATCCACGGAGACACAGTCAGTATGACCTTGTCTCTGATTGGTCAAATTAACAAGACAGAACCAGAACACACACACACACACACACACACACACACACACACACACACAGACAGGTCTGCAGAGTGTGTCTCAGATGTAATAATATCAGTATCTCTAATGTGATTTATCATTCAGAGAAACACACAGGACACACAAGGACACTGCATGATGTCATTGGCCGTGTGTGTGTGTGTGTGTGTGTGTGTGTGTGTGTGTGTAGGCGTAGTGTCATAGCAACAGCGTGACCTCATCTGTGATTGGTAAAATTAACAAGACAGAAGAAGCAGCTCCCTGAGGAGTGTGTGTCACTTTGTTGATTAACAGCTGATGTTAATTGACAGCTTTGTCCTGTCAATCAATCACACACACACACACACACACACACACACACACACACACACACACAAAGAGGAAGCTGGTTAATGTAATTAACCATCTTGACTGTACACAGGCTGGTTAGCAGCTGCAGTCAGAGTTCATCTCAGACAAAGAACGTTTCTTTTCCTGCTGTAAACTAGATGAGCTGAAGACACAACCATGTAAACTGACACAGCTGAGCGGCTGCACGTACACAGATCCAACTTGATCAAAGCCAGCCAGGGTTTTGGTTTATCCACAGACATTCATGGTGCATCTATGAAAGTCATCAACACCTCTGTGCTTCACTGTCAGGACTATACATTCACTGTGATTGGTCCTGGTCAGGTTCCCACCAAACAGGCTGAACTCCATCTGAGCTAAACAAATATAACTTGGTGTCATCTGATCAATGAATGTTCTCCCAACATTCATCAGGCTTCTTCTCATG